TACGTGTTATAGTTCACACGTGTGGGAGGTGTGTGTTGCGTATGTAGTGTACCACGTGAGGGAATGCCAATTGTAGTACAAAGCAACAAATTGTAATTAGTAGCTTTCAAAAGTAGCACAAATTGTTTATGGAAATGTTTTGTAAACTTGTGTTTCAATTTTCGAAAAATGATTTGAAAAGTGAACCAATTTTTTTGTTACTAAAAATTCTAATTACTGCGCGTTAATTTACGATGGCGCGAATATAAGACTCGGTGGCGGTGGTTGGCGCCGATGAGGTGGGTCGCCAAGTCTTGCGCGGAGAGAAAAAACCTCTCGCAGATTGCACAGTAGTGGTCTTTCGCCTCGCCTTGAAATCTCGCCTGACGTGCGAGATGCTTCTTGCCGCCCTTATGATGACGAAGTTGATGCTTGCCGGTGACGGTAATGCCTGTAGTACAATTCCGTATCACAACCCTCCGGGGAGATGATAACGGCGCGGGAGGGTGGGTGGTACTGTAGCGAACGGGCGTACACGCGCACGCCGCCGTGCACAGTAGTACCCCAAGGGTCCGACGTGTGACAGCCGGTAGCAGTGGGTGTGGGCACGGGTAACACGTGGCACAACCGTCGGCCGGGATCGTGGCCACAGGCACACTTGTATAATCCGTACGGTGGCTAACTAGTAAGTAGTAGTTAATGGCACAAACTAAGTAATTGTGTACAGTAGCTGGTGCACAGTAAGTGGAAGCTACTGTAGAGGGACAGGTGTCCTGGCGTCCTACTTAGAGGTTAAAACCGGGGACACCTGCCCGTCACAGTAAAGAGGAGGTACACCCGCCTCCCTTCCCTTTACGGCTAAGTGGTAACACCGTTCGGGGTTTACTTGTAGTCTCAGGCTTTTGACCCGTGACCAGCCGTCCGTATCTAACACCACCGACCGGCTGCACGTCACTGGCCACGGGAGCCTTCCTTCTTTTCGAGTCCTTCCGTACGGTTTGTGTTCGCCCGTGGGTTACCCAACGGCGCGCGCTCCTTTAACTCTAACCCCCCTCGTGTCCGAGTTGTCGGGACGAAAATAGTTATTCCACAATGCCGCACACCTTGTACGTCAGCAGTGGCGCAGGAGCGCGCTTTTTTTGCGATGTGAGACGTGGCCACGCGTTGCGTCGTCCTAATAACATCTTCCGGTAGTACAGATAGAAATTGTTTAGTTACTGTAGAGCGTGCCCTAATTTCATTAAACATTTTCTCGGCGTTGTCCACGTGCAAATTCTCTCCTGCAGTAGCGGCGTTAATTTCTTCTTCTTCTCGAAAAATGTTTTCCTCCAGCCTAGGTTGCTCTGCCGCGGTAGCTTCTAGCTAGACGAGGTCCAATACTAAAATGGAGTCCTCCTCGTCGATATCCCAACTAACCTCAAGCGTGCGGGGTAGAGACCCTGCGCCGAGGGTGGAGTCTTCTAGTTCTTTTGTTCGGCCCTGCAGTGCCCTGTATTCCTTAATCGTGGGTGAATTTAATACTACTAAAATAGAAATTAGTTCGACAACTAGATTCCTATATTAGAGGTACCGAAAAATTAAAGAACTTGATCTTTAATTTATTCCGTGAGAGTTATCCTTACGACGATGATGGCTATACCTCTTTATTGATAAAATGTACTGCCTTAATATCAAAGAAGAGGTAGGGAGACCACTCTCGTTGCGATTCGAAAACGTTGATGAATTCCAAGAAAAGTTGAGTTGGTTTTTTTTCTCCAAAAAAACTATTCAAAGTGACGCCTAGACTGTCGCAAAAATTAAAAGAAAAGGGGGAACAATAAATGGTTAACCGGCAGGACCGGGCGAATGAGGGGAATCGCGCTTTTTATTGTCGTGGCTTTCGTATTTGCTCTTGCTTATCTTGGCCGGTAGTCTGCTTCGACTCCCTCTGTATTTATACTACTCCCGTCCTCTTTGATTCTCTCTCCATGTTGTCTTGCACTATCACAAAATCCATGTAGGAGAGGATGAACTCTTCTTTGACCTCTGAAAATATTAAATGCTACCGTTTCGTGCATTTTAATAATTTTGTTGAGATGCATTTACTTACTACAGTAAGCATGTAAGACGTCACCGTCAAATGCTATTTTCCCACAATTTGGGATGTTCAGGTAATTAGGGCGTTGTGGTTCCAGGAACACCGATGACCCCCGATCCTCTAGAGAGCGGGCGGCCGGCGGTGGCTTTATTGCAAATGTGAGGGTGTGTCTTGACATGCCCCTTTTTTCTGCAGTTTGCTTTGCTTTGCCCAAAAAGGTGATTTGGCGTGCTATGAGTGGCGCCTACGTTTTAATTTTTGAGTTTAAGAAAAGCAAGGGCGTAAGAAGCATACGGTGTTTGTTAAGAATTTAAAAGTATTCCTGGCAAAACCGGGCAAGGCAAGCAAAAACCAGCCTGTTGAGACACACCCTGAGGGCCAGTCCTAACAGGCGCTTTTCTTTTTTTTTTTTTTTTCTTCAACCAGTTGCGGTCACGCTATTGGCCGGGTCATTTCATTAAATTAATCGCACGCCACAACGAATGCTACACAGAACCACTGTAATGCTTGGTAATTCTGCAAACTGGTCGAAATCCATTGGCTAAAGGAAGTACCAGTCCACACTCAGTCCATATGCACACTACTAAAATTCCATGGACTCTGTGGTAAAAGGGAGTGCCCCCTGGCCAGGAGACAGGTGGGGGGGGGGGGGGGTGTGCACAGTATATGTAGTAGCGAAATCCAACAGACTCGATGCGGTGCAGTGGCACTTGCAGTACAATGAAAGGGTGGAATTAAATCCAAATACGAGCACATGCAGATCAAAACATTGGTTCTCTCAACGTTACACTCTGTTTAGGAAACGGAGCACCACCGGACGGCAGAAGGGTACCCAGAGTTCAGCTTTTTGAAATCAAATGCCTCCTTGGCATCGATCATGAAATGGAGAGAAGCCGGGGAGGCTGCTCTCTAGTTCATGATCGATGATGAAGTGGCTTCGCCGAAATCCCTTTCCTGTGAACCACCCCGCCCTCGCTCCCTCCCCCCCGCCACCAACCCCCCTTCCCCCCCAAATATGACCACGTCCCCTCCTCCCCGCCACCCCCCTTCCCCTCAATATCCCCACGTCCCCTCCCCGCCACCCCCCCTTCCCCCCCAAAATCCCCACGTCCCCTCCTCCCCGCCACCCCTACCTCGCGCCCGACCACCACGCCCCATCACCATCTTCCTCACCTCCTCAGTACCGTGACCAACACACATCCTCCGACATGCTATTGTCCCCGCTACCGCGTCATCCTCCTCACATCGACACCGACACAGTCTCTCCCCGCACCCTCCATCCCTTCCATATCTTTCGTTTCATATCTCAATCCAGCCCAGTTTTGGTCATGCACATCGAGGGACCTCATTATAGCAACACGTCGTCCAGCTTTGCTTTTGTCGAGCTACAGGGAGTCAGACTGGGCCATGTGCATGCGCGAGGAGGCGTTGCTGTACCTTCCATGCTGCATGGATCTGCAGACCGTCCAGAATCTGTTCCATTTCTGAGGAGTGGAACTTTGGGATGGCATTACAGTAAAAACTACAGCAATGTGCTTCCGATTTTAGTGAAGAACTCAATAAAAACGGGGCGAGGGAAAGGAAAAACGAGAAAAAAGTCCTTTGTTAGGACTGGCCCTGAGTAGCGTGCCCTAATGGCTGTGCCTTATCGTGTGTGCTTTGCTTACTTGACTCTGGATGGAACCACAGGCATGTTCCAAAAATTTGGCACCCCCCTTTACAAATAGTAGTCCTACAGTAGTACAACTTGCCGTGGCACGACCACTGTACACGTGGACTGCATCTGCATCCCGACTCATCTTGCATCCTCGCCAACCTCGTTCTGTAATCTACTGTAGCGCACAATGTATCCGCGCCCGCCCTCACCACCCTCGCAATGGCGCAACCTTGTTCTGTAATCTGCTGTAAAGCGTTGCCCAAGGTTCTCTACCCCGAGCCCGCGCCTCTGCTCCGTCACAGCGTGACCACTACAGCCACAGGGTGCAGACTCGTGCGGAGAGATTCAGCTGAATCTCTCCGCACGAGTCTGCGTCTCACCTTCACCCAGCTCTGTCCCTCGGCCCACTGCGCGCCAATCTCCGCCGCGCGCATCTTCCACTCATGGCCCCGCCGTCCCCGCGCGCGCGCGAGCTGGCGCGCGCGGCGTACGGGGACTTGCCCGACGCGGCGGCCGCCGCACGCGCGGACGAAGCCCACGCGCGGCGCAGCCTAGGTTTGTTGTCCGCGTCCAGTGGCGCTTGCGACGTGGCGACGTGTACCG